CGACTGCAGCAGGTAGAGGGACGCCCCACCCCTTCTGTGAGAAATCCTCTCACTCTTTATCCACCCACCCTTTCATTCATTCATTCAGTAAGTACTGATGGAGTGCTCCTGTATGGTTTGGACATGAAGTGTCCCCCAGATGCTCCTGTGTGAAGGCAGCATGTTTGGAGGTGACATGATTACACTATGAGAGTTGAAACCTAATCAGTCTACCCCATTGAATGGACTGGATGGTGAGTGTAGACAGGTGGGGCATGGCTGGAGTAGCAGAGTTACTGAGGGCTTGCCCTGGAAGGTGCATCTTCCCTGAAGCCCCTTCGCTCTCTCTCTCTGCTTCCTAACTGCCACAAGGAAAACAGGGCTGCTCCAAATCCTTCCACAATGATATTCTGCCTCACCTTGGGCCCAGAGCTGTGGAATCAGAGGGCTGACTAAACCTCTGGAACTCTGAGCCAAAAAACCTTTTCCCTCCTCTAAGTTGCTCTTGTTGGTATTTTGGTCGCAGCAACAAAAAGCTAACACAGCTCTGTGTATGCCAGGCCCTGTTGGAGGACCTGGGACTGCCTCTGTGAATAAGCAAAGACTTCTGTATTCACAGCACTTGGAGTCCAGTGGGGGAAACCTGCCAAGGAACCAAGTAAACAGGGGAAACCAGGTAAGCTCGCAGTGCGGGTGACAGTAGCGAGCCACACCTCTGGAGGAGAGTGAGAAGGGGAGGAGGGTGTGGGGAGGCTGCAGTTTCTAACAGGGTGCTCCATGAAAGAGACCTTGCTCAATGACTGAGCAAGCTGATGGGGTGAGTGTGAGAAGCCAGTGCCTGAGGCTGAGGAAAGAGCAGGTGCAGAGGCTCTGAGACCTTCTTCCGCCTGGACAGACCTGGGGCAGAGCAGGGCTGGTGGGATTAGAGAAGCTTCTGGGGGAACAGGGTACAGGAAGGAGCCGGATGTTCTACAGGCAGAGAGAATGGCCTTTACCCTGAGTGAATGGGGGTCACTGGAGAAGGGACAGGGCTCTGAATGACATTTTAGTCATCCCACTTTGGCTTCTGTGTTGACACCCACAGTAAGGGGAGTGGAGCAGAGCAGAGAGGAAGCTCTCACTTGGTCCAGGTCAGGGACAGTGGCCTAGACACAGGTGCTGAGCAGCCCAGGAGAGTATGCCTGCAGGATTTTCCAGTGGCTTTCAGATGTCAGAGGCTGGCAAGTGCCCTAAGGTTTCAGCCTGAGCCGCTGAGAAGATGAAGTCACCAGAAATGGAAGCGAGGAAGACTGGGGGTACAGAGACCGGAGTTCATTGACAGTCCCTGCAGGGGTGAGATACCAATATCCCAGACACTGGGAGACCACTGTGGGCAGGGGAGAGGCCCCAGCTTAATGATATCAGACCAGCAAGGATGGTATCCCAACATACCCCAGGCATCCTGAAGTGGGGCTCCCTCCTGGCAGTATTCAGTCTGCTTGCTGACCTGGTGAAATGCTCCCCTTTCCAGAAGCTCAGAACTCGGGGCAGGCTGCTGCTTCATAGTCCATGCAGAGAAGAGCAAGAAAGGCATCCACTCCCAGCCTGTGCTGTACTTCCCCTTGCCCTTGGCAGCCCCAAGAATGACTTCCAGTGGTCTCTGGTCCCCTGTGTTCACACCACTGGAAGGCTGGACTCAGTGCCCCAACTAACAAGTCAAAAAGACAGCAGGTCTCCCCTGAGGCTAGGTAGCAATGGCTGTGAGTTACTCATGGTGCCCAGTCACATACTCCTATGATAGACTCAGCCTAGCAAGGGCTGAGGTCAGCCTGTGGCCAGAGTGAACCTGAATCCTACTGAGAGCCATGGTGGTGATCTTGGAAACTGTTCCTTCCCTTTTTGAGTTTCTGGGCACCACTTCAGACAGGGACTGACACCTGTAACAGCCTCAGGGAGACCCAGAAGCAAATGACCAAGTGAAGCCTGCCTGAGGGCCTGGCCCACAAAACTACTGTGTGTTGGTTTGAGCCACAGAGCTTGGGGTAATGTGGTAGGCAGAAGTAAAACACACCCACCACCTCTCGCTGGTGTAAGCTACACAAGTTAGGAGAGACGCAAGGTCCTCTCCTGAAGTAGAGGATTCTTTCCTAAGGGCCAAATTTTAAAAACATCCTCCAGTTAAAGAACTATTAAAATACTGTAATGCAAAAAGTAAGAAAAAAATAAGTGATGGCTATTTTTAACTATTAACTCTTGTCGTTTATTAATATTTTAATCAACTGAGCGTGGGGCTAGAGCTCCTCATGACCATGGCTGAATGATCAATCGTGTACTTGAGCCACAACTCTTCATAACGTAGACTCAAGCTTCTGAAAAATATACGTAACTTTGAGAAGCAGACAACTCTAAATCACACTGCTTCTTCATCGGGTACTGGGGATTGAACTCAGGGGTACTCTACCACTGAACCACATTCCAGCCCTTTTTACTTTTTCTTTTGAGACAGGTTTTCACTAAATTGCTGAGTCTGGCCTTGAGTATGCAATCCTCCTGCCTGAACTTCACTGGGTTTACAGGTATGCACCACCAGGCCCAGCTATTGTTTTAAATTCACTATTTTTGTTCTAAAACCCATACTTTTTTTTTTTTAAGTGTGGGGGGAGGACAATATTCAGAACAAGCAAGAGAATGGAACTAAAAATACCTAGGCTTGTGTACACACAGAGGCTCACACTGCTTCTAAGCCTGCCTCTTCACTTATTTATATATACTGGGTGTATATATCTTCATGTGAATATATCTTTCTAACTAAAACAGTACTTGATTCTTATTCCAGTTTACATTTTTGCCACAATTTAACTCATTATTATGTTTAACCTGAGGTTGTACCTATCATTTTCTATGTTTCAGACAATTTGATAACCAATGACCAGTTCTTTAATTTTATGTAATAAAAATAATTTCATGAGAAGATAAAGGGCAATGGACTAAAAATTCAGTGTGGACCATCTTTTAAAATATTATTTGCTCTAGAAAGGAATGAATGATTGACACTCCTACAGCACAGATCCTAGGCCCTGGGCTACAGAAACCTCTGTGGGTAAGAGTGCTTAAAGCCTGGAACCTCCTGTCTTAACAAGATAAATGGCACTGCCACTGCCAACTTCAAACACCTGTTATTCAATTCACAATAGCTAAGCCATAAAACTAGGTACCCTTCAACAGATGAATGGATAAAGAAAATGTGGTACATATACACAAGGGGATATTAGTCATAAAGAAGAATGAAATTATGACATTTGCCAGTAAATTAATGGAATTGGAGACTATCATGCTAAGTGAAATAAGCCCATCTATTCACTCTATTGAGGAGGGCAGAATAGAGGGAAGGGAGGGGGCATTGGAATGGGAAAGAGTAAAATGGATCAGACAGAACTTTCCTATGTTCATATATGATTACACGACCAATGTAACTCTACATCATGTACAACCACAAACATGGGAATTTATACTCCATGTCCCTATATGTCAAAATACATTCTACTGTTTTGTATAACTAGAAAGAACAAATTTTAAAAAAGGAAAACAAAAAACGGTGATTCTCCTCATTATTAGGATAATAGTGTTTATGCTAATTCATTAGAGCAACAGCTCTCAAATTATGCATTCATCAGAGTAACCTAAGGAGCTTGTTAAAAATGTGTATTCCCTGAGTGCATTCCTACAAATTGGACTTCAGGGATGTGGAGAGGCCAGGTGATTCTGATGATCTTGGGGCTTAGGAACCACTCCACCAATTCTAGCCTAAGCAGAGATTAGACCATGCAGGCACCACCACTGTGATTTATTATTTTTTGATGCTCAGAGAGATGAGTCAAAGCAGGAGGCAAAACCCATGTAAATTCGCATACCACCATCTTTTGTCTAGAGTTGACTTAACGTAAAAAACTAGTTTGCGTTGTTTTTGCAGCCTTTGTTCAGTCTCTTTATTTTCTTTACCGTTCAACAGACATTTATTGTGCAGAAAGAAGGCTCGCGGACTGCCACCATGGAGTGGGGCCTTTTATGAAACTCTTGGGATTACCACTGAAGGAGATGTGTATCTCAAGAGACTGTTTCCTGAGGCAGACATCTCCACCACAGCACTAGGTGAAGCTCCATAAAAATTAACTTACTGCTCATCAATCGCACAAGATTTTGACTACAGACATTTCAGAAGTTGTAGTTTCCAGTAGAGCAGCTATCTGGCAGGCAATGCCTTTCTGGGTTTCCTCAGATAGGAGCAGCTGTCCTACTCTCCAGCCCCTTGGCTTCCTTGTCGCGCCTTCTCCTGCTCCACGCGGATTCTCCAGACCAGGCCTGGAGGCGAGGATGTCTCAGAGGGTGGCGTCCATAAGTCCTCCTAGTCTCTTTCCTTCTGTTTCTGCCAGTCCAGGGCTGGAGGACCCAGATGCGCCAGAGTTCTAAAGACGACCCAAGAAATGACAGCTTTGTCATCACTTAGTCCTCAACGCCCACGTTTTCCCATCAACTTGAAGATCCTCTCACAAGTTCTTCCTCCCTGATCTCAGAAGGAGGTGAAACCTGTGAGGTCTCGGAGAAAAACGTTGGGGCACCCCACTGTTCCATGGAGCTTCTCCTGGAATAATCCAGTGGGAAGCAGTGCATGCGTCTCTGTGACGACTGGGACCCCAACCACAGGGGCGATCCGGGCTCGCCCGGAACCTCTGAGCCCCACTAGAGCGGTTCCTACCCAACGCGGCGACGTTCGGCTGGTGAAATTCTCGCCCACCTGCTGCGCTCCGCCCACCTGCGGCATCCCCACCCCGGGATGCTCCTCTTAAGCCCTCCCCGCCGCGGCTGCACCTCCCCCGACCTACAAAATCCGGGGGCGCTGCAGACCCCCACCTGCCGTGCTCCTCCTACCCCACGCCCAGATGGCAGCGCGCCCGCAAGCCCCGCCCGCGCGCCGGCCCCGCCCACCAACGCCCATTGGCCCTCGGGCGGGCGGAGGCGGTTCCTGCCCGGTGCGGGCGGGGCGGCGGTTCCGAGGCCCGCGAGCGTGGGCCAGGTCCTCACTGCTTGCTGCGCACCCAGCGAACCGGCGGTCTCCGGCCTCCTCGCCATGGCCAGCAATGTCCCACCGACCCCCAGGGGGTCCTTCCCGAGGTACCTGGAGCACCTCTCCGGGTCCGGCAAAGCCATCGGTGTGCTAACCAGCGGCGGGGATGCCCAAGGTGCGCGCCCGCCCGCTTCCCGAACCCGGGCGGGAGAGGAGGGCGGCGGAAGGGGTTACTGGAACGGGGGGAGGGGGATGGGAAGAACTTGAGAAACGTTGCTGGAGGATGGCTGGGGAGAATGGATGGGGAGGGAACCGAGGAGAAGGGATGGGGGCTGGAGTGCCCGGGAAAAGAGATGGGGAAAGTGACAGGGGAGAACCGCGGAGAAGCGATGGTGTAGGGCGGGGAGAAGCCCTGTTACCTAGGGCCATCTGGGGTTTCTGGGGGCGACGGGAGACGCGGATGGGACTTCGTTGCAGGGCGGGGTGCGGAGGACGGAGAATATGGCGGTAGGATTCTTCATCGGGAAGATAATTTAATTTTCCACCTCCAGGTCTATTTTAGCAATACTGGCAATGGGGTGGAACCACCCTTGGAGGTCGTTCTGTATTTGAGTCATAGAATGGAGCCAGGCATCCCTGCCAGAGCTTGAGTACCGCACGACTCCCCGGATGCCACAGTACCCACCCTTTGGGGATCTTCCCAGCCCCCCAATTGTAGGAAAAACAGCTCCCCCTCCCCACCGCGCCTCCTGCCGACTCGCGCCCCCCGCGCGGCGCTGGCGTAGTCTCCTCTGCTGCATTGCGGGACGTGGCGGGGGTCGCGCAGGGGGTCCCTCCTCTGTGCTGCCTCTGCTAAGCCGCGCAGGGGGTCCCTCCTCTGTGCTGCCTCTGCTAACCCGCTGCGCCCGACGTTTCCGCCGGGAGATTTTAAAAAAGGTTTCTCTGCTCTGACCTCCTGTCTTCCGGCTTATGACAAAAGTGAAAACAAAAATGGGTCACTAGGCCCTCCCTGCCAGCCTCCCCTGGACGGGAAAGACCAGGAAGCGGGGACTCCGGGACGTCACCAGCACTCGGGGCGCGGACTCCGGGCTGCCCTTTACCCCTACGCGGAGACTGGTTTCAAGGCGGAAGGGACCCAAGCCTGGGACCCTTCGACATGGAGAGTGGTCAGACACTCACAAGGCCTTTCGCCCGGGGTGCACGTGGGGCGCCGGGGTTCCCTGACGGTGGGGTTCCCCGGTCCATGTAAATCCCTAGTGAGAGTAAACCAACCACTATAAAGTGGATCTGCACCTCTCAGGTGAACACACCCTTGGAGCATTCAAGATCACGCGGGCTGGACACATGTTCCCTGAGCTGGGTTTTGGTTTTATTTCGCCCTCTTCTCCTAAATGAGTATGAAGGCACTGATGCCTCATTCCTCCCGTTTTGAGGCTACACATCGAGGAGGGATGCTCAGAGGATGAGCCCAGTACCCCCGCCTTCTGCCCACCCTGCGGGTGACCTTCCCTTCGCCCTTGAGCGAGGCGAGGCGAGGCAGGGCCGGGCCGAGCTGGCGTGGGGGCGGCAGGTTGGGGAGTCGTGAGCACCGCCCCGCCCGCTGCGGGAGCCTACGTGATGCCAGCCCGTCGCCGCCCCTGCGCCTTGGCCGGGACACGAGGGACACAGGGGCAGCATCCCCGGAGCCTAGCGTCAGGTGCGCCAGCAGAGGAATCCTGCGCTGCGGGATGGGGGTTCCCAGTGAGTCAGTCCTGATTGCTTTAAAGTCTGTTAGCACTGCACCAGTCACCACCGGCACCTTGGGGGCCCGCCTTCCTCAGTCCGAGAAAGGATTGCTCTAGTATTGGTATTATAGTAAGGAGAGCCCCAGTGTAAACATTACTTATGAAGTGCTGCTTTCCTAGGGAAGGAAAATGTTGTGAGATAGCAAAGGCTGGGGTTGGAAAAACAGGAGACTGAAATAGGAGATAACATCGCCTGAGTTATTTAAATAAACGCCTAAAGATGTGCTTGTGTAGGGCAGCCTGGAGGTCTGTCTTGTGACCTGAGTGGCTTCCCAGTCCAAGGGCTTCAAAAGCATCTGCATTTTTTCCAGAGACCTCGTGCTAGGTCAAGTTAGGAAGACTTTGAATCTTATCCTGGGCTGCTGAAGAAGAAGCCATAGCCACAGGAAGAGGAACTAGTCTCCAAGCCATCAGGGCTGCACATCAAGATTACTTTAGGATGAAGATGCTGTATTGATTGATAAGTGTTTGTCAAAATACTTGCCCCAGTGTTTGCCAAAATACTTGGTGACTGGTGTACAGACCTATGAGATACTGCTGCAATTTGCAGAATCAGTTTTCTGTTGCTTATCCGGAATCTGCCATTTGTGAGAGGTTGTAAATACTTAGTAGCTTATGTAATGCTAACATGTCCATCTCTCCCCTTTCAGCAGAAAAGATACCTAGAAAATGAAAATTGTTTGAGAACTTTGTGCTTGATTAGTGGGAGATGGCTGCTCTTAGTTTAGCAGGTGGCATGGAAAATGGCCTGGTGCTTTTTCAGCTCTGGGCTCTCACTGGAGAAACCAACCGTAGTCTCCCTTGCTAGAGGATGAAGCCATTATTCATTTTCCTGAGGCTCCATGAAACCACTGAGTCTTGTGTTTTCTTGGACCTGCTTGAGAGTTGCCACGTTGCTTTCTTAGAAAACTGGCCTCAAGATATATGCTCAGAAGCTTTGGCCTTGGCAGTAACAGGTTTACCAATCCTTAGAGGAGGTTATTCTGGAGATGGTAACTATTATATTCCCATGCTTTCACCATTTACTTGATTTTTCCCTGAGAAGATTTTTGCACAATAGCTAGAGAGCAAGGATAAGTATTTGGTCTCATTTTTAGGGTCATTTTCTAATCAGGTATGGAATTACGGTAAAATTTCATATTGAGATAGTTATAGGAACTATTTTTTTGTGTGTGTATTTTATGTACTAAGAGCTTTACAATTTCTATCTCTGGGTCTAATCCTGTAGCCCCAGGATATGTATTTCTTAATTTTGGTATGGGGTTTTTCTCCCCACAGAAAGATGAGTAATTTAGGCAAAGCCATGAGGCTCCAGATAGTTTGGCAAGGTTTAAACTAAGCTTTGAAATCTTACCCCCCCATACTCTCCATTAAACCGTGTTCTTAGGGGTTTTTTCTCAGTGAGGTCTTGTGATCTAGTCATGCTCAAATGTGAGCAGAACCCATCTCTCTAAATTATGCAGAGTAAGCCTTTGGACATCTTTTTCTGGTGGAACAGAAAATGCCTTTTTATAGTAATGACAATCAAGGTGGCTAAAATGATGTACCATCACACTTGATATCAAAGTAACTGAGCACTTTTATTCCCAATGGAGTTTATATAGCATAAAGTAAAACTAAAAGTCCCCCAGCTGTATTCCTGACTCTTTTAGTCCCCACGTTAAGAAAGAGTATTTTAAGGCAATTTTTTTCATCTTCTTAAGTTTTACAGTATATCTGCAATATTAAATTGATTTCACTTTCATCTAAAATTAAGCTCTGCTGTATAGACAGGTTTACCATGACCTAGTACCTACCCTCAGACAATATTGTTTCACACACCAAAAATTATCCATGGTCTTAGACACAGGCTGTAGTGTTTGCAAGGCTTCGTGTATGGTGGGGCTGAGAATGAATGAATGCTCAGGAGTCAAAGTACATTCTTAGGGGAGGTGAAAGATGCTCAGGAGTCAACATGCATCCTTAGGGTGGGTAGAAGGGCTCAGGAGTCAAAGTCCATCCTTTGGTTAAGTAGTGGACAATAAGGAATGTAAAGGCACCTTTTTTGCCTAAGGCAAGGAGAACATTAAAGCCGAATTTATGGACAGTACATATAGTATAAGTCTTATCACAGAATAGCCAACATTGAGTTAGTGTTATGAAGCATGCTTGCTGCCCCCAGGTTTTACACACACGCACTTGAAAACTTATTCCCGTTTTACACACACGCACTTGAAACCTGAGATGAACTGGCATTCCAGAGTTTGCAGAGCTGAGTATTAGTGCCTGGCCTTATGGCTGCAGTGAAAAGGTGCCAGACTGAGTACACCTGTGTCTGTTCACGAGACTGTATTTCCAGCACCCAGCACGGGTGGCAAATACTCAGATGTTTGTTGATTGTTCCCCACCTGGAGTCACCCCTGAGGAAGTGGCAGGTGATTAGGGTTCCAGGTCATTTCCTTTGTCATGAGGTCTTCCAAGTGAATGACTCAAAAGTTCTCTTTAATCCTCAGAGCAGGAACATACAGACTTGACCAGAGTGCTAGTTGGTTTTTCAGTGTCTGTCCTCCAATTTGTGCCTTCTGCATTTACAGATAAAACCGGCCTCAGATTGAAAAATATTTTTAAAAAAATTTTAATATTTACATTGTATTAAATATCATAAGTAATTTGGACATGATTTAAAGTGCATGGGAGGATTGTGTAGATTATATTAAAATTCTGCATTACATAATTTTGTAGAGGGACTTGAAACATTCAAGGTTTTGATGTTTTTGATATCTGAGGGGGTTCTTGGAACCTAACTCTGGAAGATACCAAGAGACAACTGCATTTATTGAGCACCCAATCAGCGTACTGCTTGGGTCCCTTTGGTTCCCAGAGCTTGCCCATGAGCCTAGTAAAATGCACATTGAGAATACTGGCATTCTGTCTCACACAGCTCTGGGGCCCTTCAGTATCCTGGAATTCTGTGTGCCTATTCTTTAATGGGATCATTTTAGTTTAAAATGTAATGATTAATTTAGCAAAAATTAGTGGGCCTAGGAAGCAGTGCTTGAGAATTGTAGCATAGCCCAATTCTGTAGGAGAGTGGTGGATTTGTGTAAATGCATCCTTTTCTATGAATTCAGGTATTTTTTGTGGGCCATATGCAGATGACCGTAAGGGAAGACATCTTGTTGTCTTTCACAAAAATGCATATTTTCCTCCTTGGTTCCAGTTGCTGAAAGCTTTTGGTAGAGAACTCAGACCTTCTGGCAGGCAGAATTGGGGCTATTTAAATAAGCGCTACCAATCTTAGAGGCTGTCAGAAGCCATTAAAATTAGAAAACCAAGTTAACAGCATGTTAAAGGGCAAACATCAGTTTATAAAACTGTGCATCCACTACTGTTGTGATGATGTTAAAATGCATATATGGATAAAGAACAGATGCTTCTATGTTAAGGAAATGATTGAGTCACTTTTTGAGTTACTTTTTTTTTTTTTAATCAAGCTTTATCTGGTGGTGTATTTTTATGGGTTACAAAATATCTGCGGGAGGCTGCAGTTCCTCTTCACTAGTGCTCTATTCTTTGTACCTTTGTCATCATGGACTTTCTTTGTAATTACAGTAACTGCTTGTTTAGAAGAAAGAAGCAAAACATGGCAGCACAGTATACTTGAAACTCAAGAGACTTATTTATAGATCCTGATTCCTGGCTTTGCTATCTACCAGTAGTGAGATAGGGTCCTGGTTTTTGTTTTAGGTTTTTTTTGTTTGTTTGTTTGTTTTTGCATTTACTGCATGAAGACATTGAAAATCACTCAGTCTTCTCTCCCTGCCTCCCTTTCCTCCCCCAACTCTTATCATTAATGAGAGTCTCAGGCAAAATAGGAAGTGTCAAAGAAACAATGCAGGACGGCTCTGGGCCCCTGTCAGTGTTTTCCCCAGGGCTTATTATCCTCTGCAGCCACCTGAGGATCCTGAGTAGAAGTGGGTGCTGAGTGTGGGGGTTAGGTGAGGCCTGAGCCTCGCACTTGGAGGCCACTGGTGCTCAGGTCCTTGAGACTAGGCTCCTCTGAGGTTTTTCCAGAGGACACCATCCCAGGAGTTCCCTGGGATGGTGTCCTCTGGAACACATTTTGAGACTTTTTTTTTTTTTAACATACATTGTTTAAAAATGTATAGATAAGGGACTCAACCACAA